TTTGTTTCTATGTGTGTTAATGCATACTGGTTGTTGATGGGTGATCTCTCTCTCTCTCCCCTTTGTTCCTTGTTTTTTGAAGAGATGCTCTGTCTCTGTATAGTTCTTACTTCTATGTTATCTGACATGAATAATGTGAAGGCTAATAAATCTGCACACAAAGAGTACGTTCGTGACTTGAGAGGTACATGTTTGTGACTGTCTCTACAAAAAAAAAAAAAAAAATTAACTTTTGATCGTTTAACTTTTAGTTGCATGCAGACATATATTTAATAATCATCCATGGGCAATATATAGACTTATTCTTTTTCTCAATTTCTCAAGGACGGACCTGAAGTTTTGCTCTTGCTCTGATGATGATACTATTAAAGTATGGGACTTTGCTGGATGCCAAGAAGAGAGGAGCTGGAAATTGCGCCTTACTTATCGAGATGGCTTTGGAGAACCTGTAATTTTCTGTGTTTAGCGTACTAAATTTTGGGAATGGGGTTGAGGTTGTGGTAGTAACACCAGTTAAGCCTCCTTAGCTACTGGTTTAGGTTTTCATTCCCACTAACTCATTCGAAAACTGCTAATTATTTCTAAAAATGGGTAGGGGCCTATATTTTCTGTGTTTAACATACTAGTACAGTGCCATGCAAAGCATGGCATGTACCAAGATCAATGAACTATGGAAAAATGTTCAAATCAAAGCAATTTGTAGTAAAATTTGAAAAATAATATGACCTAATGCAGTAACTTTTTGGTAGAGAAAACTGTCATTGTTAATGAGATTATATTCATGGTTGAAGCTGATATAGTATCAATACAAGTTGATCAGGCTTCTGATGAACTAAAATAAACTCCTGAAACTCTGAAGTCTGAAGCTTTCAAAGATAAATCCAGAGGAAAAGGTAGTCTAATTGAAGTACTCTACAGAAAAAAGTAAAGAGCAAAAAAACAAAGAAAAGCTGAAAAAATTGTCAAATTAATAGAAACAAAACGTGCATTACCAATGAGGGCTTTTGCATACTCATTGTTAAACCTGCCAAAATGTACAGACAAATTGATTATTTTCATGTAAATATTAGATTCTTGTTATCATATGCTATGGATATCCCATTTGGGGATTCCTATGTGTGTGTGTGTAACTGGACTCTACTTCTCTGTGTTGGGTATCTATCCTATATGCTCTGTCATATTAGGTTTCTCATATCCAACCCTTAACAGTGGTGTTATATATGATAATAGATAAAATAATAAAGGGATTGTGGCAAATAATAATTGAGACCACTGGATGTACTTGATCCCTTGGACTATGTAGTTCAATAAGACACTTTTACTGAGCGCAATCAACTAACTAATATGCCTTTGTAATGGGCTTCATCAATTTCCTACTTTGCTTCTCTAGTATCGAAGCTACAATTATATCCATTCATGGAGAACATTGGTCCGGATTGCAAGTTTAAGCATACCTTATTCTGATACAACTACCCCAGTACTTTTGTGAGCGCACAAATGCTTCACTGGCCCCGTCATTTCCTTCTTAGCCACTAATCCGGTCACTCCCCTATTGTCTTCTTGTAGGTACATCTTAATACATTATTTAAATCTGCACATCATTCGTTATCTCCTTGGGGTTCACCTTACGGACTCAGGCCCTTATTCTTGTAGGTACCTCTTAATACATTATTTAAATCTGCACATCATTCGTTATCTCCTTGGGGCTTCACCTTACGGACTCAGGCCCTTATCCTTGTGAAATACCCAAAAGCCTCCAACGATGTATTAAACTCTACCCATACTCCTCCGTGAGAATCTATTAGCATATGGTTACTTCGCATTTGGCTGTTTGTTCTTTTTATGGCTCATTACTTAGTTATATGCAATTATCTATCTATTGGAACTCTTTTTTTGCCACACTAGAAAAGATACATGTGATGGGGTTTGGAGAACATCTCTCCTCCAATTCAAAACTTCATCTTGATTGCTTTAGAGTTGCCAATTGGATTATTTGTCTTGTTTATATCATTTATTCCATTGAAACTCTTGCTTTTTAGTTTTCTTATAGCTCATTGCTTGGTTATATGCGATTATTTATCTGTTGAAACTCCTGTTGAGCTAATATTCTTTCCTTGGTGAGTGATCACTATTAGATTTTTTTCTCGATAGTACTTCATATTAGATTTATTATGCATGCACTAAAGTGTGATTTTTACGTCTTCCATAATTATTTCTTATTTTTTCCGTCGCAGTATTTTTTATTTCATCGGTACATTTTCTCATTTTCTTGTTTGAACATCATTTTCCTTCTTTCTGTTTGTCCTTCCTTATCTTCTTTGTTCTCCTCAAGCCATCATACACTTTCTCCTTGTTCCAAATATTCTTCTGAAACCTAATCTAGAAATATGTTTACACCTTTGCTAAGAAGTTCTTTGATAACTGCACCTGTTGCTTTGAACTTGAAGGTGCAGGCCTTAGATGATACATTTTATTAGTTTTGTCATGTTAAAGGGATGATACATGCAATTATTGCAAACAAGGGATAACCTGAGAGTCTCTTTTGTGTTTAAACTCAGACAGGTCACCTATGGGATGTAAAGAGTTTTGACTGGCACCCTACAAAATCTTTGCTCGTTTCAGATTCGGATGTAAGAATTGTGTTACATATTATGCACTTTGCTTCATTGCTATGCAGTGTTGTTATGATGTTTTATGTACCGGAACGGTTATAGATGGCAAGGAAAGCCTTGTGAAACTTTGGGATGCAAAATTAGGGAAAGAATTTTGTTCGTTGTGGGTTGGAACACATTTTCACTGAAAGAAGAGATTTGCTTCCATGAAAATTTAATGATTCACTTCCATTTAAATATAATAAATACAACTTGGCGTTTATAAATGTGCCGACATGGTCACAAGAATTGGGTGTTTCTTATCAAAGGGAATCAAAATTGTAATTGGGTGCTCACTTCTTCAAAAGATCAGCATCTTCTATGCAGGCTTCCGTAAGTTCATTATTTTACCTTTCTAGGCTGCTCATGTTTCCTAATGTTGCATCTTGAATATGACTGTATTAAATAATCTGGTGGTTGCCCGAGATCTGGCAATTTTTATGGCTATCTATGGCCTACTTTGAATAAATGTATTCTTTTAGCTGTGAGCTTTTCTTCTTGTTCTTGATGAAACCATTGCTTCATGAACTCATATTATAGTTTGCACTTTCCATCTCAGTATTACTGTACTAAGTTCAGAACAGATGTAGTAATAGGTCTTATGTGTTGAGACTGGTGCTCAACATGTTTTCTACAAATCATGTTTCTTTTGGTTTAAGGAAGTAAGGATGGGAACTTGGAGTGTTCAAGGATGAAAGTGGCCATATAATTATAATGCTAATGATCATTTTTGGGGTCACTACTTTCTCAAGGACTGGAGCCTTGGAAACCATGCAGTTATACATTTTTGTATGAGGCCTATTCGGATTGCTTTTTATATAGGGGATGTTATCAATGTCATTTGATGGGAGATGAATGGTCTCCATACTCCTATTATATTTAGCATCATTATTTTATGGTATGAAGGATACTATGTATCTGCACGTGGCCCGGCTAATAATGTGGTAGCAGGTTAGCAAATCATGGTTATGCGGATGATCATGAGGGGCATTTTGATCCTATAAAGCCTTTTCTTTCATTTGGTGATGATATTCTTTTGCTGTAAAGAGAGTTTTTTTTAATATACCTGCTGGGAGGATCTCTTGTTTTTTTGTTACTTTAGCGGATCTTTGGGATGAGTTATTTTTTTTTTTTATATATATATATATCTTTTGAGAATGTCTGCATAAAGGCTCATAGTGCAAATTAATATGCTTTTGTTTGAGTTCACCAAATGCTAGTGTTGATTCTACGTATACCTATACAAGCACGCATAGATGTTTGTTGACTCCGTGATGCATGCATAATTTTTTAAAGGCTTGTTGATGCATGCATAATTGTTTGTCAGACATTCTTTTTCCTTAACAATGTATAATAGTCCATTAACTTATTCCCCAATATTACTATCTCAACCCTACTCGCAATGTAAACCTTTATCATATTTTCAGTTTTATGATACTATGAAGGAGCCTGAATCTTATTGTGGACATGGCAAGGATGTAACTGGTTGGTAATTTGTTTGTAGCTTATTCTTTTCTAATTTATTATTTTATACATAATAGAAGCATCCCCAATGGCCATTATACTTTTGCACTTTTAAGCACTTGTAATCCATCTGGTGGACTCTTTTTTTATTGTTTACTTACAGTACTTTGTAACAACTGACAAGTAACAAATTGATTTGGTTGTATGCTAATTGTGGACTCAATTGGTATGCGTGGTAGTTGCTTCCTTTTTTTTATTATGTCTGCCCATGCTTTGAACTCCTATGGCTTCTTCTGCCTAAATATTTATGTATATCTATTTATTCTGTTTGATGGTGCCTGTATTTAACCCAATCAGGGATGACTTTCAAGTTTGGGATTTGTACAATAATTTATTAGTATATGATATGATATCTACAACTCTATTGTTGATGTTATCATTGATAATATTTACGTTTCTCTCAATTCTTTTTTAACCACAAGCACCGTAATCTGAGGGCTAAATTCCAGCCCATGGTTCTTGACTATTTAGGGTCCTTCTTAAATGCTTTGATGCGAGTTCACCATAAACTTGTCCTATTTCCAATGTAATCAATGAGTGAATGGGAAATATTAACAATTTCATGTAAGCTCTGATCATTTTTATCTGCGTTAGGTATCAATATAGGAAGACCATATCTGATAATGTATTCTTAAAATAAATAATTACATATGATCATGTTGGCATATTTATTTTGCTAGCTTTCGCATGGCATCCATTTCATGAAGAGTATTTTGTAAGTGGGAGTTACGATGGATCTATCTGTCACTGGCTTGTTGGGTAATGTCTCTTTCTTTTTCAATTGAAGCCACATGAAATGAATAAATCACACAAGTTGCTGGCAGTATAAGCTTGCGTCTCTTTCTGTCCTATATATGTTAGGTGTTACTGCAAAAAGGTAAATTGATTCCAAATTTATCTCAATTTTCATCTTATTTAGGCAAGAACATTCCTGATTTGTAAGTTGCTGATCCATTGAGCATTATTTTTTTAATACATTGGGATGTAGAACCAGAAAATTAAACATATTCCAAGTAAAGCACAAGCAACAATTTTGAAGGGAACAACCAAGGTTCCCTCCCCAAAACCTTAACTGGGAAGCAAAAAACTTCCTTTTCCTTTTTCCCCTTTTTCAAAGTCATGTGAATAGGTTCCTAACCCTCCATGCACCATTTCTTTTATCTTAAATGCAATATGAAGAGCCCATAGTGTCCTTCACCAAAATAAGATTGACTAAATAGTCTTGACTTAAAATAAAATTCATAATAACGTATCTACAAACTCTACACTTGCTAAGACAAAATGTTCCATAAGCACTCTCTTAACTACTTTTTTAAACAACTCTTAAAATCCAAAGAATATAGAAAACCCTAGAATCCTTAAAAAACTTAAAAACACTGAAAATAACCCTAGAAACAAATTAAAATATATATCCTTGAAAATTAAACAAAAAATCAAAAGTAAAATAATTTGGTCCTACATCAGTCTCTTCTAATTGGAGAAAACTCATCCTCAAGTTTTGAAGTATCTTCGCATTAGTTCCAAAACCTTCTTCAAACTCAATCTTATGCTTTGAGATTATGCATTGAGATTGGGGCTTAGAAATCAATAGACTAGCACATTTTGAGAACACCTTGAGGAGAGTGTCATTGTATGTTGACGGAGTCTGTCTAGCCACATAAACTTGTTGAAATGGTTTAAGTTCAGCCCTAGAACATATCGCGTGGTCATCTTTGAGATGACGGTTGGATTCGATTGTCCAACCAACAACTTCATCTATTGATTATCCTTGAATTACATAGTTTTCTTTCCCAAAGATCAGCTCAACCATGAAATATTATTCATTGTTGTATATTAAATTTTCTACAAGATATTGTTCTTCAATTGAACAAGCTCAAAGATTGGTTGAGAATCCCAATATACAGCCTATTGATTTTGGAGACAATGTGCGTTAAAATCATGAATGTCCACCTTCAATTTGAAGAACCTAAAGTAATGTCCCCCACGTTTAGGTCTTCTATCACTTTCCTCTTCACTTAACTCCTCATGCAGAACATAAGCTTGTACTTTACATCTTCTTTACGGAAAGTTCATCGTCTTACCCGTGATTGACATCCATGAGTTGTTGTGCAAGTTGCTGAACTTGCCTCCTGAGATCCTTAATCTCTTCATCTTTGGCATCTTAGGGTAGGTCTACGGGAGCTCTCCTTCCACGATCCTTTCTTTCTGTCATAGGTTCATCGAAATCACAAATCCTAGGGACAAAAATCAGCAAACTATAAGCTGAATTCGGCAAGTTCTAGGCTGAAATTAGTAATCATAGGCTGAATGAAATTAACAAACTCTAGACTTGACAGAAGATTTCCACCCATAATACTCAAGAATCATCTGTTCTAATGCCAATTGATGTGGATATTTATGAAAAAAAACAAATTAAAAGTTTCCAAACAAAGCACAAGCACTAATTGAAGGGAATTAAGGTTTCCTCCCCAATAACCTAACTAGGGAACAAAAGCTTTATTTTCTTTTCTTTTTTTCCTCTTTGTAAAGTCACGTGATCTAGACCTCCACCTGCATCTTTTACATCTCTAGGATCTCTCGCGAAAACTACTCCGCTTCCTTGCCCATCTGGTGTACCTTAGGTGCTGTTCTTTTCACGTGCGACGATCCTTGTCGTCGTGTTCCCTCAGCTCCCTTCACCAAAACAAGATTGACAAATTGTCCTATCTTAAATCAAAATTAGTAATAATATTTCTCACCTAATAAAACAATTATTCCATAAGCAGTCTAACTACTTTTCTAAACAACTCATAGAATCCTAAAAATACAAAAAAAAACCCTAGAATCCCCAAAACACTTAAAAGCCCTAAAAATATACCCTAAAATTAAAATTAAAACATTACATAAGAATCGAAATAAGAGTAATTTTGTCTTTCATCGCAGTACTAATAATGGCATTTTTTTTTTTATAGTTATGGTTCTAATTTGTTTATACCTCATCTTGTGGAATTGCAGCTACCAAGCAATGGATAGGCAAAAACAAAAACGACAAAAGGAAAAATAGAAAAGAAAAACAAATGAAAAATGACTGGCAAGGGAATTTAATATAGAAAGTATACAAAAGATACTATTTTCTTTTAATAAAACGAGGTCCCAATCACTCGCGTCCATCAGATTTTGAATCGTGTAATTGTGTGTTATTCACTAGGCTCAAGCTTCAAAAAAAAAAAAATTTCCTCAAAATTTCTTGCACACCCGAAGCCATCCAATTTGATATGTAATGGCTAGTAGCAATCATGCTCTCGTTGAAATAATATAACTAATCTTATAGTATAGAATTCTATATAGAGTTATATTAGGGGGGTCTGATCCAAAATACAACAATTAGGCCATATATCAAATGGGAAATAAGGAACCTATGGAATGTTATATTATTATTTATGGAATTGTTATTTGGAAATTTAACATAATGAATTTAAAGATGTTCCATCATTATTTTATAAGGCTAAAACAGATTTCATTCCCCGCGAGAGCATTGACTCCCTCTGTTAATGCTATGATTATTTTTAGGACTTCAAATTTTGTTGATGTAAGATAATTTATCTTTAATATGGGCTTTTTTCTTTTTTGGTGGTGCAAGGAGATTACAAGCACTTATGACCATTAGACTTGCCTATTACCATCAGACGTAAAATATAACATGTTTCGTATGTCATAAAGTTTGGTTAAACTTTGTTTTGGCCTAGTGAATAGAACAAATTCAAACATCTACTTTCACATCCAATGATCAAGTTTGATCGTGACATCCATACACTAAATACAAGTGTGGTCTTCTAGTTTATTTTCCCAAAAAAAACCATCAACCGCCCCCTCTTCTCTCTCAATGGGGGAGACCAAAAGGCATTCAAATAGATATGTCCTATTCCCTCTCTTTCACTTTTGGCTCTGTTGTGGTTTCATTTTTGCTCATGTAGTGTTCCACTCTCTAAAGGTTTCAACCACAAACACAATCTTCTCCTTTTTCTACATTCTCTCTTTTACTAAAATTCAGATCTCATTATCTTCTCCACCTACTCAACTTTTTCTCACTACAAAATGTCAACTTTCTCTCACTATAAATGTATGTACATGTCACCCAATCACTACACATTCAAGTCTCACCTACATAAATTGTCATCTCACTAAACAACACAAGTCGACCTACACAAATCATTTTTCTCTCAGTTCACTTCTCTTAACTCACCTATCCCGCACATCTCTATCTCCTCTCTCTCTCTCTCTCTCT